AGAAAATTACATACATAATTTTTCTTTTTGTTTTATTGCTTAAACTTTATTACCGATACACAATTTGTGTTTATATGAACAAAGTTTCAGAGTCTATAGCAGAAACTGACTGATAAAGAAACTTTATTGCTATTTAAACATTTATGTTTATATGTATGAATAGATGTTAAAACTTATAATAGGAACCATTAATTAATGACAAAGCTATGTTCCCACTATAAAGTTTTTGTATAATGTTCATCCAAGCCATGATATTGTTGCAAAGTTGGCCGGGAGCGTTTCTTGTTACGGCTCGTTGTCATTCAGCCCAGCACGGTCACAGACTCCAGCCTGATAAGTCTGAGAACTTAGTTTCAAACTAGGCTATCGGTGTTACTTTCAAGATTATTGTAACTAGGTTATATCTATATGCGTTTACGGTACTTTCCTGTTAAAGGGAACATTCATTATTATCGATGATTTCTTTCCGATACATCGATATTCTATTTTTGATCCGATAATGAACGAGATGTCAGCTGACAACTACGATAAGTAAATATTGTTCAGTACCAACAAACAATTTAAAAATATTATATTGAAATGAAAATGGTCTAAACTAACCTTACCTAACCAACCAAACTTGCTGTAAAATTTCCAAATTCCGTTTCATATTACTCACATGCCTTTTCTGTTATCACACGACATTTTAAATGATACAGCAAACCTAGCAAGTTTGGTTGGTTATATTAGGTTAGTTTAGAACAGTTTTACTTATTTATGTTTTGCCTAAACAAGATCAGTTGTCAATTTGTAATTTCAATGTGTTTGAAGATATTAAAACAGAAGGTATGGATCGTAAAGGAAAACAAAAATATCGATATATCGAAAGAAATCAGATCGATAATAATGAATGTTCCCTTTAACAGGAAAGTACCGCGTTTACTTATTTTGATTAAAATTTAGGTGATGCTGCCCTCAAAATCTTAAACAGTAAACTTAGCCGAATAGAATTTGAACATATGTACTATGAGTTTATTTGATCAAAGTTGTTTTTAGGTAAATGAACATAAATGGTTTAGTATATAATTTGAACTGTTAAATAGCTTGAACGGAAATCATACAGTTTTTGTGCTTAAAAGGTAGTATATTGTGTTTTTTATAGAATCAGGTATTTAAACCAATTTGTTTAATTCAATTCAATTCAATTCATTTATTTCCACGGTAACACCATTTTTACAAGAGGTACAGTAAGTAGTAGCTATCAAACTCAAATTATAACAACAAATAAAGGCTATTCTCAATAAATTACAATAACAAGAACAAGAAAAACATATCAACAATGAAGATGAAAACCATGATAAATTTTTTAAACAATAACAAAACAAGATTTAACAAAACAACAAATACACGGTTTGGAATCCTCTAAGCAAGACTTACATGACAAAAACAGATATAAATACTAAAGTGCCAAAATAAAATAGCTGATCGAAGGTTGAACACAGTGCCGTTAACATGATGTAGGAATTAACTACAAATTATTTACAGAGAAGAGGCGACACAGATTGGAGCGGAAAGCAGCCACGCTGGAACGGTGAAAATCCAACACTGCGCCGACCTCGTTGCCGACCCGCAAAAGGCGAGGGATAGTGCTTCGCTGTAAATATACAGTATTGTAGTGCCGCCACTCAAACGTGTCCTTGGATCTTGTGCGGACAGGAACGTGTTTATTTATCCAAGACATAGCATTGTGGTTAGTTGAGCTCTGGGGATAGTATATTTTAACTTATTTTCCTACTGCTATATTTATACATTTTAAATTTATAATAGGTTAAAGTCTCAAGACAAAATTAAAGTGTCATTCGCCTATTGGGTCTAATAATGATTGGAGTGTCCAATCGAAATCAACCACCATTACCAAAGAGTAATTTGGTAATTTATATATAAATATATATTTATGGTCTTGTTTGAAACAGTATAGAAGTTAATTTATGTTTCAAGCGTTATTAGACTTTTTTTTAATTTACCCACCAAAATTTTAAGTTTAAATTACCTTGCAATAACCTCTGCAATTTATAAAAAAAACATTTTACGAGATCCTTACCACATCCTTAGGTTTATTCTCTTGTAAGATTCGTCGTATATGATATGTCGGGGATCGAATAAAACGCACCTCTCCTTAAACAAAGTCTCCTAACAAGAGTCCTATAATCTACTGAATCTACTCTGAATAATAGAATATTACATACATTCATTACAATAATCCACACCCCTCCACCCATGTGGTAGTGGAAGGCAGAGAGAGAGGGGAGGGGGCGTGTAGCGCGTGTTCCGTGTTTTTTTTTATTCAGTCATTCAGTTTCGTCGTGGTGGTTGAAGCGTGCGTCTGTGCTGTGCTTTCTTCACACCTAAGTTTATCGATACAGTCAGCGAATTTATAAACATTCATTTACTTGCTGATTTTAAATGTGATAGTGGGTTTTCATAGTGTCAATAAATGTGTTTCCTCAAATTTGTGTAAGTTTAAAATTTTAAAATAAAAACAAACTAATTTGTAAGTTAAGAAAGTAAGAGATTTGATATCCGATTTACGGGTTCACAATGAAATACAAGCATTACATTTTCTTTCATACCTGAAGAATGCAGTTTAGCTTTAATTATGCCACTATATTTTTGGTTAGAATTTTCTTTATTATACATTAATATTTTAATTTTAACGTATTAAGAACGAGCATGATAGGAAATAAAAACTAACCATTATCTTGTATCTGGGATTATAATTATTTCTATATTCTGTATAGTTATAATTATCTTTACATTTGTTTGTGAATAGTTTGCTGTGTATTTTAAATAACTGTAAATTAACCTAAACAAGTTTCAGAATGTAATACAATGTGAGCTACTGTATTATATCTGACTCCTTTTAATGATCTTTGAACGTTCAATTATTTAATGTACATATTCAGTTTCTAGAAAGTTTACCATTAAATTCAGTGCTCAATATATCTAAATAACAATACACTTTTACTAATGTCGTTACTTTATTGAACATAGGCCTATGTTTATATTTTTTCCAAAATTGATGCTACGAAGCATTGATCCATGAATACAATGGAGATTGAACGGGGTTTTAAGCAAATTAATTAGATTACAGCAAAACTTTTACCACTAATAGTTATTTTGTATAAAACATTCAGTCAAACATCATTTCTACGCTTCCGATGCACTTGTAACATTTTTTGCTGAAATAAAAATATTAGGCCTACATATTGATGAGAGGTTTATGTAGATGCAGTCAACCGCCAGACGGCCTTCGCAAACACAGGCTCTCATTTGAATACCGCATACAAACGTGCTTTACACATCACCACACAAGTTCTGTATTTGTGTCAAACCGGCGTTATGTGGTGCACGATTAAATGAAATCTATATTTGTAAATTTGTTTACCAGTACATATTTCACAGGTAAATTCTTATGAGTGGGTTTATATTGAATATCAACAAGTTGTGAAACTAACTGTTTTACCAGTAAAAAGTTAATGTAATTTACCAATTACTGTAGGGAAATCTGCATATTAAATGCTTAAAGTAAACTATATTTTATTTATGTTGCATAGACCACAACATCGTTGTTTTCTGTATTCAAACTTTATTACATTTCCTATATACCCTAGTGCTACTGTAAAATTGTCTTCTTATACTTCAGAACCGAATAGATAATAATCCAATGACCATCGACAATCTGTTTTGTTGTAGAGCTTTATCGGTTTATTATTCACCTACTTAATATTGTTCATTATGAATTAAGAAGGATAACATTTTATTTGTCAATCACACTTACTTCGTAGAATTAAATTTATAGTGAGAGGAATAAAATTAAGACTGATAATTAAGACTTATAATGAAATTGTCACTCCCAAAACGTATATGGGGTTTTTTCACCTTGGTATAGGGTATCATATTCCTCTAGTCATATTTGATATGTATTAATATAAAAACATATATATATATATATATATATATTGTTTTATCGTATCACATAGATCTAGCTATGGATTTTCACTTTTAGAATACTTTTAGACATTTTTGAGGCTTTTTACAAATTTTACTTTTAGAAAAAAGTTAAACAGTGTTTATCATAAACTAATTCATGTTCAAATTATTTCATTTATTGTGAATTTCAATTATGGTAGTATTTTATCACTCTGGCGTACTCTTAGAACATTCTTTCCCAGTGAATGATCCAATAAATGAAACGAATACATCACAATGATTAGTAGCACATTAGTAGCACAAGATTAGTAGCACATTTTTATCAAGTGCAACTCGTCCAAGAATAAATTACCCATACGTCCAGCTGTTTGTTCCCAACTCATTCCCTTGAATGGTGGGGGGCGAGAGTTGCTAGGGGAAGGGGGTGAGAAATTCCGTATTATGATAAAGCCCGCGCGTGTAGTCCGACACCCTCGGTAGTCGTGGCGTGCGTTGTGCGTTGCGTGATCAGTTATGAGCGTTGTGTCGCCTCTCCGAAACATGAACGCCACTTTACATTTGAAACTGTTTCAAAAACCTGGTCATGGCTTACAGCTATCATTTACTTCCAAAGGTACTTATCAAAACTAGGATTATTCCAAAATTATTCCAATTCCTTCATTAAAAGTTGTTTGTAAGTAATTCTAGTTGCAGCCAAAAATCTGACATTTTATATGTAACCTGCTAAAAGAGTTTATATCTTCAGATGCTATTATGTTTGATTTTGTGGAATTACACCTTTTCAAGCAAACAAATTGAATTTTTATGTTGATCTAAACTGTCGTTTACTAAGATGTTTGAATAAATATTTTACAACGCGGTTGAAAATAAACTTGGTCTGTAGGTGTGCTGTTAGAGGGAATTTTCAAAAACTAGTATTACCTTAAATCATCAAAACATAATTGAGGCCTGTAACTCATTAATTTGTCTATTTGCCTTAATGTATTCAGTTGTATTGAACCAAATCTTTACTGTTTTCTTCTTCCTTGCAGATTCGTGGAGCATTGATTACGAAAGGTGAGAATAAATCTTTTACAAATAGTTACTGTTTTGGCTTGTCACATTTTATACTTTATATATCACAAATTTACTTTTATTGTCAAATAAGGTATTTAAATAGAGTGCTTATTACTAACTGTCTCGGTTGGAAGACCATCTTATTATTATTTATAGTCTTTAAATATTTAGACATGACAATATTTTAATTTTATGTTGAACCTTTTACTTGAAACGTTTATCAATTTACCACAAGAGCAGGGTTTTGTTCAACCTACATTTTATCTAATTTTACCTTAATTAACTAAATGTTTTATTGAGTAACTGATTAATTATTTCCCAATCATTGACTTTTCAGTCATTTTACTTCTTTAGGAGGTTAAATGTCTAAAATACCTAATCGAATTCTATTTTGAAATCTACTGGCAAGTCTTACAGCATTTATAAAACCTTGCGTTACTATAATGCAATACTAACTACAGCCTATTTAACAAAACTGTAATCAATTAAATGTAAAAAAAAATATTTTACAAACTAAAAATCACTTTGATATGTCACTTTGAAATGCCGTAATCATAAAAGCTGAACTGAAATTTAATATGGTGGGTGGAAGGTACTCTATAAATAGAGGACTAATCGGTTGGGGTGATACGAAAAACCTCTAGGGAGGGTAGGGTCTGCCCCTAATGCAGGACCCGTATTATGCATTAGCTGTGTAAATAAGGTCTTAATAACTTCTTCAAAGTAATGGAGATGTACGAGTTATTTATTTTACTGCATATAGTTGGGCAACTGAGCCTTTATAGTACTGGCCTTACAATCCAAAGATTGTTCATTGTTTTCTTAGAATATCCTTAAATCTTTGATTGCTTAAGACTAAAGCTGGCTGTCCTGTTATAATGGGATTAAAATAAATGATCCTGTCTAAAATAATACAATGTTCTTATTAAATGAAAAGGTAAACATTTTATATTTTAAATAAATGTCGGTTTTATACGCATTGCGTCATTTAATAAGGGTTGCGTTTTCATCTTATTGGTGATGGCAACAATTGGTGAATACTAAAACAAAACTTCATGTCAGTACTTATCAGGCACATAACTTCCTGGAACACCTCTAAACCATATTTCATTTACTTTTATATTTAAAAAAGACAGTATTTAAACTAATTATAAATCATTTAATAAAAATCCCAGAACAATATCCTTTTACAATTATATGACATCTTCTTAGAGGTTTTTGGTAGTCAGTTAAGCTATTTATACCTTTTGGTTTTTTTTAATTTTTTAATCGTTTTTTCTATCCCTTAATGTTTTAAAAACTTATTCTCCTTCTAATAGAAACATTCTAAATGGAAACAAACAATCGTGTAGGAAAATTACTTATTTTAACACCAATATGAACTTAGCTTTGACTTACTTCAATGAGAATAAATCTTTAAATGAAAATTTCCGAAACAATAAGAGTTTACACAGGAAAATGTGTTCATGATGAGTCGATGAAATGGATAATTGTTCAAATTTTAACTATGCCCATACGTTGTACATTATTCAATATAACATAAACGTTAAACACCATCATATGCATATGCTACACTTACAGTACAGTATCAAGACGCTTGTAACCAGAAAGCAGCTCAGAGAGACAATTAAGTGCAATGATGTGTTGTGATTGAATCTGGTTGCACATAGTTTCTGTCCCTATTTCGAGGATATGCATATGCAAACGTGATTGAATATCAATCAATATTAAATGGCCAATGAATAATAAAAGCTTTACTCATGAAGATAAATTCTAAATGAATACCAAATTTTTTTCTACTATATTATTTCCAAATAAATGGTATCCTCTTTTATTGTAAAGAGTGACTAATATTTATACTATGATAGTGTGATAATACGCAGAACAAACACTACACAGAACAGAGAAACAAATAAATTCAACTCCAATACCGTTGATAAAAAGTACTCTCAAAGTTCCAAAAATGTTTTCAGGTAACTTATTCATGCAAAGAAGAGTTTTTAGGAAGGAATCTTACGATTGGTTGAAATCCTTATACTTAAAAATCTAAAGATGTTGAGTAAAACGGGGTTGTTTATAAGTACAAAGGGCTGAGCCTTAATTATCCTTCACTTAATTCCGTTAATGTGTGATTTTTTTACCCCAATAAAAGTTACTAAAAACGTTAAAATGTTTGGTAAAACTCTAATATGTGTATTTAATACTTATAAAACTTTGGGACATTTTCGACGAAATATTCTAGGTGAGAAATTAAAATTATAATGCAGTGTAAACATTGTTTTGTCAACATAAAACTGGTCCTAAAGCACAGCTAGAAGTACAATACCTACTGAAATGCGATTCAATCGATAACATAAAAAGTCCCCTATATAAAACAGCTGTGTCACTTAACACTAAAGAGCCAATCCATTTACTGGACTCAGCTGTCCAAGTCTGATAGGCAACTGAATCCGCGCACTTCTATGATTAACTTGGGGCTGTTCTGGAGGGAATACACGATATAAAAAAATCACGCAGTAAATAAACCTACTAGCATAATTTACTCGTAAAAACAGTTTTACGTTATTATTATAAATTAGTATGGTTGCTTTTATGAAGTTTATTTTCCATGGATGTTTGCTATCATCCTTCATCCTCAACCGTCAGCAATACAAACTTCTAGGGGTAAAAGTATAAAATATAAATGTGGCATGTTGTGAAATCCTACGATTTGTTTTAAAGCTTAGAGTTAAGGATTAGACTACTTCCCTGACCTACAAGATTCTGGCTTAGACTTTCTAAGAAGCTGTAAATATTTTAGTGGCCAAGTAAAAAGAAAACCGATGCTGAAGTAGGATGTTGTAAGAACGATGTTTTAACCTTTACGATTTTGACCATTTCGAATAATATGTTATGCGTTGTAAGTTAAATTAGTTTACATAATAAATTGCAGTTTCAAATAACATTGTGATTTAAATAGGAAAGCCTATAGAATATATTTTTATACCCCGAAGTTTTTGGTTTTTTTAGCCATGCACAAACCTTTATTGTGTGTATTATTTTTGTTAGTGTAATGTATATGTAATGGAATTAACAAAGCATACCAAGGTTTTATAAGAAAAAGAATAAATATATTTACAAAATGTGTAAGTAATTCACGTTCCAAAATCATAGATCAAGAAAAAGTTGATATCCAGAAAAAGTAGATTTGGCATGAAACATCTTGGAACAAAATGATTAAACGTAAAATACGTAAATTGGTGGTTAGTGAACATAAAATACATGGATAAACATTTAATAAATATAAATTTAATAAATTTTAGTACATTTAATATAAAAAAAACTAAATAATATACTGTAGTTATACAGTATAAAACGCTAACTTGGTATTCGAAACCCCTGCAATTTATAACAAATAGGTTTTCACAATTTCTAAGTGTATGCTAAGTACTACTGATACTTTATCGGGTAATATCCAGTAGTTAGACTGGTACAAAGTGTTTAGTCAGTTATTTAATTTAGTTTTGGTAGGTAATCATCAGTTGACACCCGAGGTAACATCACGAGTAACATAACATCAGCCCACGTTTATATTGGTTTGTCCCTATTTTCTCAACTAGTTATGCATGCACCAGAGTACTATCAAAACATTTTAAGTTTAAGGAAGTCTTGTACGAATTCACGACACAAACATTTTCTAATAGTTAAACGATAATAAACTTATGCTATAAACTTAGCTCATAAAAATGTTGTCAACATACGTACGAGAGAGTATGTATTACTGTATTCATAATTTGTTCCGGCATATAGCTTGTATCATTTTTGCGTCATGGTACTGGAAATAACAATTACACGTCTATATTTTTTCAAACAAACTATGATTCTTATTTTTATTGCATAAAAGCAACTAACTCCTTTCTTTTCGTAATTCAAGTGAAATGATTTAGGAAGTGATAATGTCAGTAAGCATCGTACTCAACTGTCGGTAATCTAACTAAGATGGTTTTCAAATACCATACAGAGTTTCAAGCATCAAATTCCACTCAACTAAAATAGTCACAGCTTCTGGCTGCATGGAAACAAAGATCCTTTATCATGAGATGGATTTAGATGCCTGCTAGACAATAGAGGGCGGAGCTCGTTAAATCCGGCTAAATTTATTAGTAGCCTATCATCTACAAGTAGAAAATAAATATCTGCAACACCATATTGTATTTAGTTTACAATAGTTTACTATGAGGAAGATACTTTTGTCCTGGCAATACACATGACCACATTATTAATGTTATTGCTCGTTACTAGTCCGGGAAATATGTGCTTACCGGACAAGTGAGGTCGTTCCCGTTTGAGACGGGGTCGAGTGCAAGACAATGTGTAGTTTGTTATACGTAACATTGCGTTACAAGTTTGGAAAAAAAGGGGTTGCTGCTTTAGCAATGGTATCTACTTCAACGTAATGAAATTTATTTGACTAAGCATGAGGCAAACAGCTATTTTCCAGACTACTGTATTTCTTTGCGTAATTTACTCAATTAATCTTATATTTAACAAATTATTGATGAAACACAATTTTGTTGCATAAAATAACTGTGATTTTAATGAACATATAACAATCTTAGTACGTAATGACAAATATGCCATGATTAACAGCTGTATTATTTTACAAAATTGTACAGTAATAAACTTAAGACGAGGCTGATTTGAAGGCTTATGAGATTTAGCCTTCAATTAATATCCTTTTTTATCTTAACTTTATACTCACTCCGAGTTAAAACTACAAAGCTATGTTTAACTAAAGTAAAGCATCCACACAACCAACATTCCCACTAAAAGGAAACTCGCTTATTAAACAAAACACACCTTTTAACCTTAGGGTTTACTTTGCCATTATAGTTACATGACAAAAAAGAAAAATAACTCTTTCCATTATGCACCTTTACTGATGAACTAGCTTTTTAGCCTTGAGATCACAGGTTGGGTGGGCAATTGTTATTTTTTACAAAGATGATTGTATGTTAGTT